TAATAGTGCCTTATACTACACATCAAGTTCAAATATTAACTGCTACCTCTGATGTTTGGGCCGTGTTGGTCACCTCCTTTAATGGCCAAATAGATAATCACTACCCTAAACATCCCATTTTACAGTTTGCCTTAACCCAAGCTATTGTATTTCCACAGGTCTTATCTCAAAAGCCGCTCCCAGATGGAGTGGTAGTTTACACAGATGGGTCAAAGACAGGTGTGGGTGCTTATGTAATTGATAATAAGGTCACTGCCAAACAATATCATGAGACCTCACCTCAAGTTGTGGAATGTTTGGTAGTCCTGGAGGTTCTTGAAACCTTTCCAGGCCCTTTAAATATTGTTTCAGATTCCTTTTATGTAGTAAATGCAGTTAAAGCCTTAGAAGTGGCAGGGCTAATTAGACCATCTAGTAGACTCGTAAAAGTTTTTCAAAAGATTCGATTCGCCTTAATTAATAAGAGATTCCCAGTTTTTATTACACATATCAGGGCTCACTCAGGTCTACCAGGCCCAATGTCTCATGGGAATGACCTAGCGGATCGAGCCACAAAATTGGTTGCTATCGCCTTATCTTCCAAATTAGATTTGGCCAAAGATTTTCATAAAAACTTTCATGTGACAGCAGAGATGCTACGTCGTCGGTTTGAGATAACTAGAAAAGAAGCTAGAGATATAGTTACTCAATGTCAGAATTGCTGTCAATTTTTACCAGTGCCTCATGTAGGAATTAATCCACGAGGAATTCGGCCACTACAGATTTGGCAAATGGATGTTACTCACATCCCAACCTTTGGCAAATTACGATATTTACATGTTTCCATTGACACTTATTCTGGAATTATATTTGCTTCTCCGTTGACCGGAGAAAAGACAACACATGTTATTCAACACTGCCTTGAGGCATAGAGTGCCTGGGGGAAGCCTAGAATTCTTAAGACGGACAATGGGCCATCGTACACTTCTCAAAAGTTTAGACAGTTTTGTCGCCAAATGGAGGTAACCCATCTGACAGGCCTCCCTTATAACCCTCAAAGACAAGGCATCATAGAACGGGCTCATCACACTCTTAAGTCTTATCTAATAAAACAAAAGGGAGGAGTCGAGGAGACCCTACCCTTAGTGCCACGAGTCACCATTTCTATAGCACTCTTTACCCTCAATATTCTTAACCTGGACAGTCAGGGCCATTCAGCTGCTGACCGTCACTGTTTAGAGCCTGAGAGGCCGAAAGAGATGGTGAAATGGAAAGATATTTTGACCGGACAATGGAAGGGCCCAGATATTGTTTTATTAAGAGCCAGGGGAGCGGTCTGTGTGTTTCCACAAGAAGAAGACAATCCGTTTTGGCTACCAGAACGGCTGACGAGGCGACTCGCGATACTGGAAGGTGACACCCAGACAGACCCTCCAGGCTCTGATGATAGCCCTTGTACTGATCCAAGGGATACAGGTTCCTAGTATTTTTGTTTATTTTATCAAATTCCACCTTTAAGAATTGTACCAATAAAACCTGCTGGATGTCCCAGTGTTGGAATTCTAAAGATTCACTCGCACTATGGTTGCCAGAGTCACGCGATGGGCTCCCATCCCCATGGAGACTCCTTCCACTTTGTCATTATTTAGACAAAAAAGAGATTTTGAGATAACTACAGCCATAGTGACAACGATATTAATTAGTGTCGTTACCGCCACTGCCACTGAGATTGCTATGTCAACTTCTGTTCAGGTGGGCACTACCCCCAATTGTCAGCCACGGTGGCAGAGACTGTTAACCTTCAAACCTCCGCCAGTACCCTACTAAAAGGCGGGCTAATCATCCTTAATCAACGCCTTGATTTAGTGAGAGAGAGATTAGATATCCTCTTTCAACTAGCCCAATTGAGATGTGAGAAAAAACTGGGTACACTTTACATCACCAGTGTACAGTATAAAAACTTTACTCGTGTAACTAATCTGTCCAGAAAATTGTTTCAGTATCTTACAGGAAACTGCTCAGAAAACTTCAGTGAGACACTCAGAAAATTGAGAGCAGCTGTGGTGAACATCAACTCGACACACGTGGATCTGTTCCTGACTGAGGGACTGTCCTCCCAGAATTCTTCAGCTTTCTTCCTTTCTTTTCCTTTTCCCCCCTTCCTTTTTTTTAAGTAAGTGGGAGTAAGCCTGTTTAGTTTACCCTAAGTTGTGGTTTAGTATTCATCCTTTGATTGGTTTGCGAACTCATAGCTCAATAGAATTTTGGCAAGGCTATTATTGGCCAGGCGTTTGTGACCAAAGTACTAGGGGCTTTCCCTGCAGTGTAGCTTTCACTGCTTCAAAAATGAGCAGTCCTCCCCTTGCGAGTGGTGGTGCTAAATGTTAGGCCATCAGCGTTACACCCCAGAGATTTGCCCAATACACTGGGTCAGTGAGGAGTCTCGACCTGGCTGATTCTTGTCTGTATAGCTGTGGTACCTGAGTTTTGAGACAAACAGCCCTTGCACCCCTAGGAGATGACTCCATTGCACAGGGATGGGTGTTTGCATCTCTTTCTGTTCCCCTTAGCCCTTGCACCCAGAGGACTTGTGTTTCCATTGCACCTGGTAGGGTAAGGGAGACGGTTTTAAACTGTTGGTTCTTTGATCGCTTATTCCCCCAAGATGGAATTTGCTTGATCAGGCCGTGGGTTTGAGTCATAACTGGTACCATGCTAGACAGGCTAAGGGCAGTCAGTTAGATAACTCCATCCTTTTGTCTCCAGACCGGCTGTCAATTGATCCCAACGACGGGAATAAGCTGATCTCATATGCCAGAGGTATACCACGAATGGTGATATTACCCGGTGACAGGCATTACGAGTGGCCACAACCTGGAGCGCACATTCAGAGAATGCCAGGTGTGGGTGCGCGACCCTCGTAGCCTAGCCAGAGCGCTCACCATTCTTTGGTGCTGGCTGTGAAGAAATGTCAGTCAGCCTAGACACGGGACATTGGCCAGTGTCTGTTTGACAAATCTAAAAGGAAATAGCCAGTAGACAGATTCCTCAGCCGCTGCACCCTAGGGCTTCTGGTAAAGACACCCTGTAAAGCCTCAAACATTTCTGTACACAGTCCCTGCCCACTAAGGTGTTCGTTCCACGGATAGAAGGTCTGGTAAGTCAATAACGGAGTGGACGGATAAGGCTCGGCCACCTAAGACAGGGCAGCCTCAAGTGGGGAGGCTGACCCCGTGACGGGTAAGAGTTTGAGCACCGCCCTCTAAAGAGACTCAGACCCGCCGTGAGACCCCCCAAAATTGGGAGTTACGAAACCTTCCCAGGGATCTCTGCCACCCTCTATATTTAAACAAAAAGGGGCAGTTGTTGGGAGCCGCCACGAGAGCTGACAAAGTCCGCCATCGCTAGGTGGCGCTGTCGCCCGTAATTCTTCCTAGTACCAAGTAAACTGCGCATGTGCCATGGTTAGCCCGCCAAAGCTAAGCCCATCCCACGGCGTTTGGCGCGCTACGAGTAAGCAGCCAATCAGGGGGTGAATACCCCGCTCTGGGGTATATAGGCAGTGCTTTCCCACGCCTTCTTCGTCTTCTACCACCATTTTGGTTTAGGGAAATAAACGTGTTTCTACGGAAGGATTCTGGTGTGTATGTGTGTGTGCGTGTGTGTATGTTTTTTGCTGGCGAGACCATTACGCGCGCGCCCCGCACAAAGTGCAGCCTTCTGGACAAGATAGAATTTCAGCAAAGATTATTTCTTTTTCTATCACTATTCTTAGGTAACAGCTGCTGGAAAAGGGAGAATCAATTCTGAGGGTGTGACCATTGTTGGGTTTCCTTATTGCAGTGGATAGACTACAAACATGCACATATGGATAGTTAGTTACAAAGACATGAGCTAATGGGGCATATCACAACTTTCAGTAGGACTAGCAGATGATATGTTCATATATTCTTTGATGTATATGAGATAATGTACAAAAATATATATTATTAATAAAGATACCTAATTAATCAGCAAAAAGTTTTCTACCAGATTATAAGTACCAAAAACTTGAGATTTCCACAATACAACACCTTGAAATGGAAGGTAGGCATACATATATATGTGTGTATAAACATATTCTTTTATTTATAATTAATCAACAATTATATAAGTAACAACAGTAAAAATTGTCACATGAATGTCTCAGTGACTCATACTCATTGTGCCTGTCATGATCATTCAGTTGCTTCACACCATCTCAAGTTGTTGACTTTGTAGTGCCCTTCAGAGACATCAAACCCAGACACTATTTCAGATGCCAAGAAGTGCTTACTGACAGGAGTCTGATATACCTGTCTCCTGAGAGGCACTGCCAGAGCCTGACAAATACAGAGGTGGATGCTCACAGCCAATCCTTGGGCTGAGCACAGGGTCCCCATTGGTGGAGTTAAAGAAAGATCTGAAGAAACTGATGGGGTTTGCAATCAGATAGGAAGAACAATATCAACCAAACAGATAAACCATTGCTCCCAGGGACTAAACCAGCAAAGAGAATACATGGAGGGACCCATTACTCCAGCCAAGTATGTAGCAGAGGATGGCCTTGTCAAGAATTAATGGGAGGAGAGGCCCTTTGTCCTGTGAGGGATTGATGACCTACTGTAGGAGAAAGCCAGGATGGGAGGCTGAAGTTGGTGGGTGGGTGGGTGAACACCCTCATAGAAGCGGGATCAGGGGAATGGGATGAGGGGAAACAACAAATGGGGATATAACATTAGAAATGTATATAAATAAAATATCCTCCCCCAATAAAAGACTTCATCCAGAGATATATGAATTATTAAGCCACTTTTGATTAGGTCCTTGAACATATGATTTCCCACTGTAACACATGTTCTGGCACTGCGTTATGAAACTTGTCTTTACCCATGAGATCCATAGAAAATCAGAAAAGCCAGGTGAAATGAGAGAAGGGACTTTGCACACAATCCTACAAATTCCCACATCAGTGTTATAGTCAGAAGGGTTCAGAAACTCACAATTTAGATGGGACATTGTCAATCCATGACCATTCCCTTTTTGTATGATCATATTTCAATCCAATCCAGTAATTGTCTGGAATAACCTGGAGCTGAAGGAACTTCTGTAAAGGAAACAACAGACATTATGCTGAAATGTCTCTCTGCTTGATGAGAGAAGAACAATCAGAAAAAGTTCCCAGCATTCCTGTGTCATTCTTTGCTATCCTGTCCTCTCCTACTAGGTTCCATTTTGTTCATTTTCTAGAGTAAATTCCTACAAGTAGCACAATTATATCAAAACTATGTCAGTTCAATAAGCTACTATAATAAAATCTTTAGGTGTCCTGAGATATTGGGATCATGACAAGATTTATTAGCTTTCTTTCTCAGACTAAGTCTCACAATGTAATCAACACTGGCCTTGAACTCACAGTTTTCCTGCTTAAGGCAGGAATTTTTACATTTAGCAATATTATTTACTGATATATCAATTTATTCTATTGCATCATTTATGCCTGAGCTAAACACTGGAAATCTCAATCACAAGATCTCGAATGTCCAAGAAGTACATTAATAAATGTTCAAAGTCATATCCTACTAGGGAAATGCAGACCAGAACAACTCTGAGAACCCATCATACACCAATAGCAATGCCTAAGATTAAAAACTGGAATAATAGCACATGCTGGCAAGGATGTGAAGCAAGGAGATCATTTCTGGTGGGAGTACACACTTGTACAAACAGTTTAGAAATTTATTTGGTTATTTCACAGAAAAATGGTAATAGTTCTATCTCAAGAACCAGCTATACCACTCCTCTGCACATGCCCAAAGATGCTCCACCATCCCACAAAGACAATTGATTGTTCATTGTAGTTTTATTCATAATAGCCAGAAAGTGGAAACAACCCAGATGTCCCTCAACAGAAAAATGGAAAACGAATGTGGTACATCTAAATAATTGAAAACTATTCAGCTATGAAAAACAAAGACATCATAAATTTTTCAGGCAAATGTGTAGAACTTGAGAACATCATCCTTGGTTACCTTGGTTATGAGGTAACCAAATCCCAAAATGATATGAATGGTGTATATTCACTTATAAGTGGCCATTAGCCATAAAAAGCAGGATGCACATGCTACACTCCACAGATCCAAGTGTCTGGACAGGAAGAAGGACACAAGCAGGGAAGCTTGAGTCTCATTTGGAAGCAGGAATGGAATTGACATAGAAGGCAGATGGTGGGAGGGAACTGGGTGGGAAAGGTGATCCTAAGGGTTGTGGGGATTCAGCCTCAAGTATGGAGATGCATTTGTTAGGATTGTATGATAGCCATAAGAATGAATGGAAATCTGCAACTGATGTGGATGGTGGTAGGTGACATCTCCAGGAAGTGAAGAAAACCAGTGATAGGGGAAGCACACAAGAAGTAATAGGTGTATCCTTAGCTCTGACACTATGTAACCTGGGAAGGCTGCCTCCTATTGCCAATAAAGAACCCATGGGAAATGATAGAGACACCAACACACCCACAAAACTTTTAACTAAAAACTTATTCTGTGTACAAAAAGTGCAGGGATTGGGGATGGAGCAAAGACTGAGGAAACAGCCAACCAATTAACACCTAAACTTGAAACCCATCCCTTGGAAAAGCATCAAACCCTGACCTTATTAAGGATACTTTGTTATGCTTACAGACAAGCATCTATCACGTCTGTCCTCTGTGAGGCTCCTTCCAGAAGCTGGCTCATACATACACTGACACACATAGCCAAATAGTGGATGGATCTTGGGGGCTCTTATAAAAGAATATGTGGAAAGACAGTGGGCTCTCTTGGATATGAGAACTCCACAGGAAGAGCAATAGTATTAACTATTCTGGACCTGTGTGGCTCTCAGAATCAGAACCACCAAACAAAGAAAATACATGGAGTTGTTCCTAGGCTTCCATGCATTTGTGCAGTATGGTCTTTTTGGGGGGGTTCCAGAACAACTAAAGCTGGCACTATGCCAAAACTTGTAGCCTGTACATAGGCTATGTTCTTCTAACTCGGTTGCCTTGTCTGGCCTCAGTGGGAAAGGATATAGTTAGCTTGATGTAGACTTGATGTGTCAGGATAAGAGAATACCTTGGATGCTACCACTCTATCAGAGGAGAAATAGGGATATGGTATGAATTATGGGAGGGAGTGACCAGGAGGGGGTCAGTGAGAAAGGAATAAGTAGAATACTGCTGCCGTTGCTACTACTACTACTACTACTAGTTCTACTATGAGTAATAATAATAACAATCATAAAATTTTTCAAATTGGTGATGATTACTGTATTAAATGGTAAATTAAAGTATTATTTGACATTGAAATCCTTTTATGTTTCTGTATTAAATTGTTGTATAAATATTGTTCCATGTTATATATACCAAGGTATCAAAGTAGTATTCAAATCACTCCTCTAGAAAATATACTCTTCATAGTTGAAGAGATTCACTAGTAATAATTTAAAAAGAAAGGTCAGGATCTTGATGACCTTTTTTTTTTCTTTTAAATAGTGATTTTTAAAGATGGATATGTGTTTTCAAAACAGAAGAATGCTATGCAGTAAATATATGGATAGTTTCAGTGAAAATGACCATGGGGCTAACTGGTCAAACCACTGAATTTCATATTTGTCATATCATCACATTTTGGAGACAGGCCCAGAGCTCAGCTACTTTCTCTGTTGTCATCTGAATACTCATCTGAGGCAGCCTCTTCTGGGTTCCAAAGAGCAAACTCTAGATAATGAGGATTTATTTGGCACTATGGTGATAAATAAATGTCAGCCATAGGATATGCTGCACCAAAGGGTTAGTCTTCATCAGGAAAAGACATGCTTTCTGAAAGACTCTCTTGTAGACTCCTAAAAAGGAAGTAGCCTGAAATATATAAATGTCTCTGTAGTCACAAGTCTTCTCTTAACAGATCTGTGCCCCACAGTTTTGTTCACATTACAGGAAAAACATAAACAAATGAAAAAAACTTGAATTGAGTATCTCATTATTCAGGGTTAGAGACAGAGTCTAAGTGAATAAAGGAGCAAGTAAGTATCTACGATACCCATTCATCCTCATCATCTATCTTCAGAAGGGATAAGCGATAATTCTGGCAGGTCTGTTTACATCCAAGCCATGTCTTTCTGTCCTTGATGAAATAATAACATTTTATACCATAGCAGAACCAGTGTATTTCAACTTTACTGCCTACAACAGAGAAGATAAATGGTTAAACTTACTATTTTCTGGAATTCTGTTTTCAGAACAAAATATTTATTAAGCCTGTGTTTAAAAAAGGAGGTAAAATCTCAACAAGCAGCACAAAGAGTCAGATGCAGATATTTGCACCCAACCAACGAACAAAAGCTACTGACCCCTTTGTATTAATTAGGGGAAAGCTGGAAGAAGCTGTGGAGGAGGGCAACCCTGGAGGAGAACCATCAGTCCTAATTAACCTGAACCACTTGAGATCTCTCAAAAATTCTACCACGAACCAGGCAACATATACAAACTGATAAGAGGACCGTAATACATATATAACACAGGACTGCTGGGTTGGGTTTAGTCAGAGAAGAAGCACCTAACCCTCAAGAGACTGGAGGCCCTAGGGAGTTTAGAGTTCGGGTGTGATAGTATGTGTGGACCAGGAGGGGAATAAATCTGGAATTTAAAATAGATAAATAAATAAATAAATAAATAAATAAATAAATAAATAAAAGATTTTTAAAAAAGAGGTAAAATCATAGAGTTCTCAGAAATTGAGATTCTAAAATGCCCAAATAGCCCTGGACACACATGATCTATGCGACATTGTTAATAACACTAAAGATATTGAAACATTTCCTGTGTCAATCATGGATGAGTCAGTAGAGGAAATGTAACACATACACATTAAAGAATATTATTTATGCTTTAAGGTGTGTGAATCAGCTGGACAGAATTACTTATGCCTACGATCTGAGCACTCCAAAGAGACAGACAGAAGATCAGTGTCACTTTGAGGCCTTCCAAGGCTAAGCAATGACTTACAGATCAGCCTTCTCTATACTGTGTGTTCCATGAATGATATCATGTCTCACAACAAATCCAAAAGTAAGATGGTGACCTGTGTGACATACATTATTACCTTGAGGATAGTGTGTAAAGTCAAACACAACAGGGAGGGCCACATTTATGATTCCATGCTGATAATGTTTCTAAAACAGCCCAGTTCTATGAAACACACACTTGAGAGATACCGGGGGCTGGAGGGCAGGCAAAGAACTTGTTACTCAGAGGCAGTTAAACTGATGATAGAATTCTAGAACTACAGTGAAGCATTGTGCTCACACTGGTCCACACTCTACTGTGCACTTAGCATTGTACCATGGTCTATGTTAAGTGCTCTTCCCTCAAGAGAAATAAAAGACCTACAAAGGAGGATCTGGTGTTGTTACTCTGTTCTCCTGATTATCTTGATGCCTTAAGGGTTGTCCCTGCAAACCTAAATGTTTCAAGTACAATACATTAAAATGTGTGCAATTTGTATAGCAAGACCACCTCAATACGAATATTTTGCTTACTGAGGTGCTGGGGGAAGGCCATGTTAAATTAAACATTCTCTCCACCCTGTGTCTCTGTGAAAAGGTATCATTGTTTAGCTCTGGCAGGTCTGGAATTTGCTGGACTGTCCACATTGTCCTGAAAGGGATAAACATCCCCCATCAACCTCATAATCACAGGGATTACATCATTATATCATTTACAGATAATGAAGCTATTTTAAAGTAATGCCACAAAACCTTTTTCATGTGTCTGGAATACTTAAAAGATGGTTTGGCAATTTTTTTCCTCTGTCACATATTTTATAATGTAGCAGTTTTAAATATATTTGTCTTTCACAATGAAAAGCATCACATCATTCTAATGGCCAACTCTTTCAAAACAATTCAGATGGAAAACACACACACAACACACAAACATACGCACAATTATTTTTATAGCTGCATCTATGTAAATGTTCTATGTCCATTTTTTTGCATATTTGATAAATGAACTTTTACGTAAATCCTTCATCTTCTGTCAGCAATGAAGTTTGAGACTCATATTTTCTCATAGGCCAAAACACTCAAAATTCTAAAGGTACTGATTTGTAATTCCCTTCCCAGTGATCAGATCAGGAGTTGTGCATAACAGACACTAAATTTTGGAAACTATAAGATTCTCCAAATCTAAACAGGGATTTCTGTGTTTCCAGTTCCCTGCATGAAATAAGAAAATTCTCAAAGGATTAACCCAGAGATCATCAGCATCTTAAGCTGCTGGTTGAACTTCAAAGGTTCTACAGAATAAACAATAGATAATAATGCATTTCTGTATTGATGGTCCTCCCTTGCTCAGTACCTGTGTGCTGAGAGGAATTTAAAACAGTCTTGGTTTCTCTATACCATTTTTCCTGTTCTCTGTTTATGTCCAGTACATCAAGGACTGCACTACAATTGATTTGCTTATTTCTCAGTAGTTTTTCCATTAAGTCCATGTCATTTTGAGTGACGTCATAGTTATGGTGGAGATTAGTCAGAATTTCATGCAGTTTATATTTTTCTTGACTATACTGAAAAACTAAAATCAGAAACATATGTAACATCAAATATATATAACATCAAATATTGAAATTTAAGATTAGCAAAAAAACTTCATGTTGACAACTAACACATATCATTACTTTCTTTGAACTTTAACATTTGTAAATTAGGACTTGAATTAACTCAATATAGATATCGATGCATCAAGTGTTCTTTATCAAACAGTTGACTGTAAAATAATAATAGAGGTGAATAAAATTATGATGGAAGTAACTTCCAATCACTTTATTTTATATAGTACAAATACAAAAATAAATACCTAAATAAAATGTTCAGCAAATATTTAAAACACCATGAAAATTTAAACTAAAAATGTTAAGAAATGGAAACCGTCTGATTGGAGCATATGGACAGATAAATATCCACATATATAACTGTGATAAAACGCAGACTTGGAGTGATTTTCTTTTAAACATGAAGAAATCAAAGAAAGCTTAACATTTAAAGTTTTTGCACAGTTGAAAAATTTTTATTTATTCATGACCTCCATACACATTGAAGAACAAGGAAAAGAAGTTCATTTAATTTTTCACAGTTCTTTATCTCAAAATGTTTACATAAAATTCAAAATTACCTTAACTCAGTATGCAGACTATCACCAAATCCTTAGAAGGAACATGGCCAAGAATTAGACAAAACAGGGCAGTTCCCAACATCCCCAGACCTAACAGATTACGTAGGTATGTAAGAAAATAGGATAAGTGATTCTATCTCATCCCCTGATTATAGGCAGGACAATAGATTGAGTGTATAACTGCATCATTCTTGTTTAAAGCTATATTTTAGACATAAGTCCAAGAAGATGTATCACAATTACTCACTGTTTGTCACCAACACTGTAAGAATGACCAGCCGAAGGGAATAGAGGATCCCAAGAACTATCACAATGAGCTGCCAGGGGACTGAACACACTTAAATCAACAAAACAAAGCAAGAAAAACATCACCATATAAAGAGTATATCCAAACATTAATTGCAGTTTGTGTAGCATGCAAACAGCAGGAAATTTTGCAAAAGTCAATGGTACAAACTGACTAACAATGTGCCTTCAAATTGTAGATTTCTATCTAAAATGCACCCATTGTCATAGTCATACATGTGTGAAGTTTCAGAAAATTTCACAAAATTTTGAACTTATTTCAACCTTGGGTTTGTACTGTGAATTCTCCTGATGCAGTCTAGAAGGAGCTACATGGTAGGCATGTGCCCTCACTCAGTTCTACAGGTACATTCTTCAGAAAACACTGGAGGCATAAGTACAATCCAAGTACAAGATACCTAACTGGATTATGCAGTCTAATAAGGGAGCAAAACTGAGGATGGAGATGAAGGAAGAAAGGATGGATGGTGTTGAGAACTGGTAAGGAACCACAGCTGCTTTGGACCTGATCTGTATACATCCTCATACTTGAAAGAATCTATAAGTCTGTTTTTCACTATAAGTCCCATTTTTCTCTATATAATATTAAACATTTTGATCTAAGGCATTTGGAATATTAAACTTGTGTCTCTGATTACCCCTAAATCAAAAGAGTAAAAGATTTCATCTTGGAGTATACCTGGGACAGTATATGCAGAGTAACAGAAAAGAGAGTTCAAATGTGAGAAATCCTCTATTTCATTAATAAACAAAGTTATTCTTAGACATTTTCGGGAACTCACACTGGGGTTTACTCATTACTATCCCCACTAAACTGTCATTTCCCTCCCTCTTCCTCTGCAGCTTCATTCTCAGGGGACAGTTCCTCTTCTGGTGGACAACTGTTGTTGTCTTCTTTCATTAGCTGTTTGGGATATTTATGACAATTAAAACACTTCCTTCTAGAGTGAATGTGTTGTCTCAAATGCATAAAGTTCATTTCTGTCTGAATTGTGTCTCTAGAATATTTCATGGTTTTTCAGATTCTAGTTTGTCTGTTGGTTTTATAATTTTCAGAATTCTTTTTGACTAGACTCTATAATAAAATATCTCCTAATGGTTTCTCATTTCTGCCTGAATCTCAAGAATTTTTTTTCTTATAGACTCTCATTATTCTACTCTGCCCATCTGGTTTCTTCTTATTACCAGGTAACAACTAAAGAATAGAAGTAAGGTTATAATTATTCTTTTTGTTGTTCATTTTTTAAACTTGATTGCTTCATTATTTAAACTTAATTTTGAAAAATTGTATACATGACTACCCTTGAATGAATACTCTTTTCTTCCCTCCTACACTTCTATATAACAATCCCAGATGAAAAGGAAGATATAAGTTTTCAATAAAACCCAGTAGGATATTTTTAAATTGGTAAAAATTTGAAATTCATGATATATGATTTTAGACACTTAAAACCTTTACCTCTGTGGCCAGCTTCTCTGGGCTCTTGAGTCTCCTCAGGCCTCAATTGGTTCTGCAACCCTGAAGACTTATGGAATCTCACAGCTGAGGGATTGGCCTCCTGTTCATTCATCCTTGGAGTATATGGAGTATGTTCGGTTTTTGTGTCCTTGAGTGATTTCTGAAGAAAATGTTAAAATGTCCACCTTTAGGAAATTACCTGAATTTGATGATACAGAGGGTTGTTATAGGATGGGGTCTGGCTCACTCACTTAATGATTCAAATAGCCTGATATAGACTGAGCCGAATTACATTACAAATCAGAATCCTTTGTAATTTTGTGTTAATGTTGTTTATATTTCTAATGGTCACAGCAATTACTTTTATGTAATATGGTAACAATTAAAATTTTACTAAGAAATAATTATAATATTGACTAAGCCTTTTTGTTCAATATATTCAGCACATAAAAATATTAGGCAGAATTGGTACTACTGAAAGTCATTGAAAAAATTTTAAACAATCTATCCAAATTACAAAGATAAAATCTTTGGGAATAAATAAAAATGTTGCCTTAAAATGATTTACACCTTTTGACAAACACATGAATATTATATGTTCTTTTAGTCTTTTTATTTATTCATGATTCTCAGAGTTTCCCAGATACTACCTTCAAAGGAATATTTGAAGGTAATACTGCAGGTGATCCAAGACACATAAGTATCTATTGGTTTGAAACCTCAATTAGCTGAGATGTCCAACGTTTCTACTTAGCAAGAGTCTACACACCCCTCTCCATGGTTGGACCTGGTACATGGATTCAACTGGAAAAGATCTTACTGAGTGGGATAAATCAGACACAAAAAGACACTACTGAATATTCTCTCTTATCTGAGTTTCCTGGCTCCAAGTTTTCAGAAGTGATCTGTATCATTTAACAACCTCTGATCCAGGAAAGTAAAAAGGGAACCTTGCTAGGTAGGGTGTGGCAATAACAGAGAGAGTCACAGAGGATGGAATATGAAGTTTTAATCTCAAATCATTCTATGTACACAATCATATCACATATAATATACTCATACATGATGTTGCAATGGGAGGCTATATTAAAGCAAATTTAGTCAGTATGCTGCATACATGAGTTAATGCGCATAAAGGACACAATCTGATAATAGATATCAATGAATTAGTAAATAGTAAATATTTGTACCTGACCTTGCCCTTACATTAATAATTAGAGCCAGCATTTAATAAAGACAACAATTTGCACATTGATACCATTCTTATCTAAATCTTTAATTTATGAAGTTTTTGTAGTGATTCATGTTTTTCCTTATTTCTTTACCTATAAAAAAATCCTTCCATTACAGAAATCTGTTTTAAAATTGCTATTTATTATTATTGCTCTTAAAGTGGAGTTGGTAAAGACAAGGTGTACATGTCCAGAACACAGCTTTACAGAGTGTTTTCTCTCACTCCCCCTTGATGTGAGTTTCAAGGATCAAATTCAGATATTAGCTCCAGTTTGTATAGCAAGTACCTTTACAAATTTTCCCATCTTACATGGCTCATTTTATGACATCATTCAAATGGATAATGTAAAATCATTTGGCACAGTTAAGGAGTAATGAACACCAAAGTCCCCTCTACCTTAATTTCCTAGCACACAAGACACAACATACTCTGAAAGAAAATAACCAGTGCAGACTAACAGTTTTCACATGCTGCTAGAGTTAACCTGGTCTAACACAACCAACAAGGCATCCCTTTCATGCCATCTGAAATTCTCTGGAGTATATTTGCTTATTTGATAGAAAAACAATAAGAGAAACTGTTACCTGTGTCATTACCCTGAAGTGATTCTGGTGAAATGAAATTATCTCCGAATTCGAGAAAAGTTTCCTTGTCAGTATCCCCTAAGAGGCTCAAAGAGGAAAGGGAGAACTAAACTACCTCAGAGTGATACTCAAGCTCATGATATATGTCCCTCCTCCTGACCAAAGTGAGAAGAGGAAATTGCTTAATGAAAGCTGCCTCTAAGAGAAAAGGACAGAATCAATGCATTGTAAAAGATGCTGCAAAACAAATGTACATAACTGACTTTTAAAAATGGAGATGAGGAACACTCCTGCAGAGAGAGCCAAACCATTGTCTTTACCAAAACTTCTAGAAAAAAGAGGAACAGAAGTTGCTCTGCTCCTTATTTTGATAGACTGTTGTAAACTTTGCTTTATGTTACTATTTTTTAAGTTACTTCTTGATTTTGAATTATGCTAATAAAGTGAGAAACTGACACATCTACAGCACTGAGCCATTGTTGCTCTAGAAAAACCCTATTTTTTATGGGACTGTGAAAGGTAGCTTGGTTCCTGGGTGAGCTAAGTATGGATACTCTGGAGACTGTGAAGTGGCAGTAGGTATTTTGCCTGTTCCTAGGCACCAGGCCCCTGTCACTTGCCATATCCCTCCATAGATTTGTGGCCATCAGTCATGTAAGAGCAATGCCCCAAACCCCTCCAGAGGTAGAAGATGTGACATGTGATCACATGGGCTCAAGACAGATCGCCATTTTAATCAGGTATCTAAAGGCCTGGAGAGCTTAGATAATAAGCTTTTCTTCCCAGACATTCCTCCCTGCAAAAGGTATTTAACCACAGGTCCACCCTGAGAAGTGAGGTATGATTTGACTCATCTATTTTCCATCATGACAGTAAATGCCTTAAAACTATAGGCTGTCTCTTCTCCTCAGGATCTGCCATGAGGAGCCTTGCAGAAGGCCTAGCCTATACAGCTGCTGAATAGTTTGCTGTAGAAGGACTCTTGTATATGCTCCCAACCACAGTTGCCACCAAGCCCAAGCTCAAGCCTGTTCCCATCAAGCTAAGGACTCTCTCCCCACTATTTGCCCCTCGACTGGGCTAGTTCCAGACTGTGGGCCTCCACTTCATTCTCAGTTCTTCAGCAACTTCCAGATGTGCCTGGGTGTCCACCAGCCTGAGAATCAGATGTCCCTGGCCATGTTGCAGGCCCAAGGACCCCTGAGCCAGCTCCTGCTGTCCTGTACCTCAGGCTGCATTTTCATGATCCCAGAGCTGTGTCCTGTGAATGCCATACAACAGGATACCCACACACTGACAGTGGTGTGTAAGCGCAGTCAAAATTCCCTAGTCCTGCCTCCCAGAGTTGCTGAGCCCTGTTGCTAGCAGATCAGACATAGGTTCCCCATAATCCTACAATTCCTCCCTCATATCTAGACAGTTTATGTCATACTGTCCACAGAAATATCAATGGTGCTTAGATAATTTTACATCCTTATCTCTGCTGAGAGGGTGTTATCCTTATCACAGAGGCTAGTCATATGCCCAGGGTACACTTATTTGTGCTTTCTGCGTATTTTCTGCCTCCTCTAACATCAGCAAAGCCTTTGAGCAAGTACTGAAGAGCATTTTGTTCCTTACTGTGACTATAGCTTAGTGGGAAATGAGGGGCATATCAGTGTACTTGATGAAGGAGGAGGATAATTAGTAGAAACTGAGTATACACTATGTATTTGCTTGCTTAGACGGACATAGGAGGTGGCCCATAATTGTAAAGCCAAAATATAGCAGCTTCCTCTAAACTCTGTACAATTTAGCTTTATATTTGTAGAAAAAAGGAAACTGTTAAGAAGCACAATTATTATAAGGAACAACATTTAATTGGGACTGGCTACAAGTTTAGAGGTTTATTCCATTATCAAGGCAGGAACATGACAGGATCCAGGCAGATTGAGAGATGGAGGAAGATCCAATACTTCTACATCTTGATCCATAGGCAGACAGGAGAACATTGGCTTGTATTTGGCTAAGACAAGGGTCTCAATGTCCACCCCAACATTGACACACTTTCTCTAACAAGGCCACATCTACTTCAAAAAGGCCATGCTTCCTACCTTAGGCAAAACGTAATTAAACCACTATATTTCACTCCCCAGCCTCCATAGTCTTATTCAAACACATGAATCTATAGGGAGCATACCCAAAAAAAGCATGATGCAAGAAGTGTTAGATCCAACTTGTAAAGTCCCTGGAGTCTATAGCAGTCTCAACAATGTTAAAAGTCCAAAGTTCAAAGTCTTTTCTGAGATTTAATTATTTAACTGTCATTGCCTACAAAATAGAAATCAAGCAGTAGATCACATACCTCCAACATCACAGGACACATAATGCCATCAAAACTTCCATATACAGAAATACTAGACTAAAGCAAGACAAGAAAGCAGCTAGGTAACTCCAAACTGTATCTCCATGTCACGTATCAAAGCAGTGTTCAGGTCTCTGACACCTTTTTCATCTTTGTTGGCGACAGTAAAAATTTTTCTCCTGGGCTGCTACTACTCCCTTTTAGCAGCATTCATAGGCACACAGCTTCTTGTTCCTGGATCTGGGATCTACTCATGATCTTCTGGGCTCTCCTAAAGGGCTTGCATCACTTATCCAACTTTGCCCTTTGTAGCATTCTTGGTTGTGGTTGACTCAACTCCATTCCGGCTGCAGTTCTTGGTGGTCATCCCATGATACTGGCATCTCCAATATACTTGGGTCTTCTTTTGCAACTAGGCCTCACCAATAGTCCCTCATAGATCCCCTTATGAGGTCAAACCACAGTTTATTTGTATGACCCTTTTAGTTCTGAGCTAACTATTGCAACTGAGGAAGCACCTTTACCAATGGCCTTTCCTGACCTCTCACAGTGACAAAACACAGCTGCTCTCTATGACCCCTTCATGCCTGCAAAATCAATACCACCCAGGTGATTCTTACACATTACTAAGTCCAGATGCAGCATGAAGTACAACCTTGTATCTCTGAAACACAGTTTCTTTGTGTTCTCAGAAAACAATTACCAGAGGAATTCACCTCAGTGATGCTGGTCTTTTCTTAATCACTGCTAATTTCTTATGTCCAGCTAACCAGCATCAAATGTCCCAGTAGTTCCTTTTATTCTTTATCCTAAGGCCATACTCTTATGACCAACATTTCCCAGTTTAACTACTGACTGGGACTGGAATATGCCCCATTCCCTTATTCTATTACCGACCCTCCTTTCCCCACTCCCTCAGTGCCTAAACTTGGCTGTCCTGAAACCTGCTATGTAGATTGATCTTAAACTCAGAGATCTGTATGGCTTTTCCTCATGAATGTTGGGATTATAAGTGTGTACCAGCATGCCTGGACTTAATCTTTTCTACACTTAGAACTTCCTCTGTCCTTGAATGTCTTTAAACTCCAAGGTCGGCTTGCATTTGTCCTGGGATTAAAGGTGTTGTACACAAACTTGCCTAGGCCTAAGATTTTCATAGCCTCAAGATCTGAATCAAAGTGTGTATCTTCCATCCTCAAGATTTAGATCAAAAGTATGCCCTCAATTTTTGGATTGTAGTTCTTTCCAGTATAAAAGTCCAAACTATTCCTTGTTCAATGGCAGAAAGAAACCCAATAATGTTGGCTTGCTGAGGTCTGGCCCTGAGATCATCACTCCCTTAATGTCTAAATCTCCTTGAACCAGGGTTTAGCTCCATTTCACTTCCTGGTGTCACTTTATTGTAACTTGAACCATACATTTTGTTTTTTTTTTTTTTTCGTTTTAAGCTTTCTATGCTTGATTAGACTGCACTTTATGAGACTAAACCAGAGAACAAAATCTCTGCTTGGCTTTTTGAGACTTCCTTCATCAAGGCAATTAATATGAATTTCTTTAACTTAGCCTTAATTAAACTCTAAAAAAAAAAGGGGCAAAAAAGCAGCCACATTCTTCACTAGAGTACAAAAAAATTCTCTAAGCTGCATACTAAAATTCTTCTCTACTAAAATTACTTGAGCCAAGTCTGCACAGTTCAAATCACACTCTGCAACAAAGTCTTCATTAATCCTAATAGGATAGCCCCTTAACTATGACTTAAAGCATTCCAGTGCTTCTCAAATCTATAACCCCAAAATCCACATTCTTCTAAACAAAAGCATAGTCAGGACTGTCACAACAATACCCTACTCCTGGTATTAATTTCTGTCTTAGTATATTATTGCTGGCAAAAAACCACCAAAACCAATGCATCTTGAATAAGGAACATTTAATTGTAATTGGCTTATCGTTTCAGAGATTTCATCCATTACTAATATAGGAGCATGGCAGCATCTGGGCAGATGTGTGGCTGTAGGAAGTGCTGAAAGTTCTACATCTTGATGCAAAGGCAGACTGTAGCTGTTTGGCCTCCACATGGCTAGAAGAAAGATCTTAAAGCCCACTCTCACAATTGACACACTTACTCCAACCAGGATACACCTTCTCCAACAAGGCTGCATCTCCTAATAAGCCACTCCTTGTGCCAAGCATATTTAAACTACCACATTCGGATATAGTCAATCTTGGTGAAGATGCTTCTTGCAGTGTGCAGTAATCAGGTTTGAGCTGCAGGACTGGTCAAATTCCCAGTGGAAAGACAGTGTGTGCTCAGCCCTATGGGGCTATTGTCATAAACTTTTTCCCTAAACACAACAACCAAGGCTCAGAGAAAGGATGTGAGATCCAGCTGATGTGAAAAAGTTCTGTGATAGCCTGATCTGGACATGATATGATATTTCACTTACAAAATCACAGCAATTGTGGTTACCTATATGAAACCTACACAAATCAAAATCCTCTGCCCTTAATGAATCATTATTTTTTGGTATCTGGTGCTGTAATAAAGAGATTGATTCTTTTTTAAGAATGTGGTCAATTGTTTTCATTGCTCCAGTAGGTGCACTACAACCATGCAAATCTGAACATCACTAAGAAAATATCGTTTAGAGGAAAATATGTTAGGACACATGGAGGGAAACTTGAGGGGTTAAGGAGGTGATGGATACAATCATATTTCATTCTGTATATGCAGGAGATTTTCAAGACAGAGAGATAATATTAATACAGAAAATTGATAATGTTATTAACCATGTCAGAAATGAATATAAACCTTAGAGTTTATACACTACAACACCTTGAAATGGAAAATATACATATACACATACACATGCACATACACATATACAGATACACATACATATACACACTATATGACTTTATTGTTACATTTCTAAGTAGCAAACAGGTATCCTACTGTGTCCTGCCTCAATGCTGGGGTATCAGGAGTACTGCCAGCCCTCAGCTCAGGGGAGGCTCAACAAGTCTTTAATTATAATTCAGTCTGTGTTTTCTTTTGTTGGAAAAGAAAGGGAAACCAATTTGCCTGGGACATATGTTGAGGTTCCTAGTCCCTGCTTCCCTTCAGCGTGTCCATGGACAGGCAGGAAGGAGGAGGCAGATCCTCGGGGGGGGGGCGCGCCCGGCGGGGAGGGAGGACAGAACAGAACATGTCAGATTCTGAGTGAACACCAAAAGATGCATGGGGCTGGAGGAGAAGACCTTCTTCTTCAGGAGATTGTGTCTCTGCTCATTAAGATGTGAATTAAGATGAAGCCTTTCCGGAGGCTATCCTTAATGAAGAGATGGTCCTTGTTTGTTTGTACTGGTTTATTTGATGGCGGATGTGAATGCATATACCTTATTTGTTGTGAACTGGGGGTTAAATAGCTTTTGTAGGAAGGATTGTCCTGGAAGATAATCTCACTGGGTGACTGATAGGTTCTTATATTCTAATCTCATTAACATGAAGAAGTAAAACCATCTAGCCCTAGGCTTAATTACTTGGGAGAATTTTAATGACTGCTTTTATTTCTTTAGGGCTTGGAGTGCTGTTTAAATCATATACCTGATCTTCATTTAACTCTGGTAAAAGGTATCCATTTAGAAAGTTGTCTATTCCTTTCAGATTTTCCAATTTTGGGGGTATATGTTTTTGAAGAAAGAACTAATAATTCTTTTCATTTCTTCAGTGCCTCTTATTTTTTTAAATTTTTTAATTGGATGTTTTATTTACATTTCATATGTTGTTGTATCTCTCTTTTCACCATGTTTTTTGTTTGTTTATTTGGATTCGGTCTCTCTGCCTTTTGGTTAGATTGGCTAAGTATTTCTCTATTTTGTTAATTTTCTCAAAGAAGTAGCTTTGATTTTGTTGATTCTTTGTATTATTTTCTTTGTTTGTAATTGATTGTTTTGAGGTCTGGTTTTGATTATTTCTTGCCTTCTACTCCTCTTTGGTGTGCTTGCTTTTTTTTCCCTAGAGCTTTCCATTGTACTTTTAACTTGCTGGTAAGAAAACTTTCTAACTTTTTTATGGAGGCACTTAGTGCTATGAACTTTCCTCTAGCACTGCTTTCATTATTTCCTATATATTTTTATATTCTGTGACTTCACTTTCATTTAGTTTTAGGAAGACTATAATTTCTTTCTTTTTTCCTTTTCTGACCCAGAGATCATTGAGAAGCGAGGTGGCCAATTTCCACAAGCGTGTATGCTTTCTGGTGTTTCTACTGTTGAAGTTCAGCTTTAATTCAAGGTTGTCTGATAAGGCACAAAGTGCCACTTCAATTTTTTTTTTTTAATCTGTTGAGGCTTGCTTTGTGACTGACTATATGGTCAGTTTTATTAAAGGATCCAAGAGGTATACATTATAAGTCCCATAGATCTGCCTTTGAATGTTACCTGTCCTTTTCCCATTGTTTTCTTTAATATTCTTTCTTTGTTCTGTACACTTTGTGTTTGAGTTATTATGTGTCAGGAGGTTTATATTTCTGGTCCAGTCTAATTGGTGTTCTATAGGCACTTGTATGTTTATAGTTATCTCTTTCTTTAGGGTGGTATTTTTTTCTATCATTTTATTGAAAATAGTTTCCAAACTTTGGAGCTAGACTCTTCACCTTCTATTCCTATTATTTTTAGGTTAGTTCATCCCATTTTATTCTAGATTTTCTGGATTTTTTTGGGTCATAAATTTTTGGAGTTAACTTTTACTTTGTCTGATTTCTTCTATTATATTTTCTACACATTTGATTCTCTTGTCCATGTCCTGTACTCTGATGTTGATGCTTGTATGTGTTCCTAGTCTCTTCACTAGGTTTTCCATCACCAGGATTTCCTAAGATTGTGTTTTCTTTATTGCAACTATTTCTAACTTTCTTTATTGCTTCTGTTCCCTCCAGAAAAGATTTTCCTCATATGGCAGGCTTCTGCATGGTTCTAGACCTGCAGGTCTGTTCAGTAGCCACAGATCTGATGAAAGTGGGAAGACAGGTAGGTGGAGAAGGACTGTCCCCATAGTAAAGCAGAATAGCCAAGGCAGATTAGCTTACTCCTGAGGACTTAGAAAGCAGTGAAGTTAGGTGGGTAAAGGGCTATTTTCTAGCTCTTAATTGTTCTTTCAATGAATATGATTTATTATACTAATAATGAAGTACTCAGGCTGTTTATTAGGGTTTTCTTTTTATTTAGTTCTATAGTAATTTAAGCAAACAGAACAGATTCCTCCAGGCTTTTTGACAAATCTTTTCTATGCACCACAGAAGATCTATCTTGCCTCCTTCAGGATGTAAGATGTCCTCTCCACTGTCAAGTAAGATTCCAGAGAACATTCCCCAAATCTTCCGGATTACCTCTCTGCACACCAGACTAAATCCAAGTACAAAAATACTTGTTTGTAAGGAGTTATAAATTATTACAGGAAAATGTGAAAGAGAATATTTCATGTTTTACCTTTAACACTCATTAGAGAATCAATCAGGGAATTTATCTAGTCTCTTCCCACAAATACAGCTGTATAATTTGAAACAGTCAATGTTGTCTAGTTTTGTTTTAGATAAGAACAAACATCCTCCATCCTTTACATTGTATTTCCTTGTGTTCAAGGCACTGAAGAACAAAACCAACAATGGACAACAGGTGAATTTTGAACATTCAGTGTAATAAGCTATAATTTTAAAAACTCTACTCCAAATGTAGAGAGAATGTATAATTATTAACCATAAGTTCATCATTTAAATCCATTCTATTCTCTAAGATCATTAAAAAGAAATGTTCCCTATGTCACAACAAAATATCGATCTAATGTCACACTTGTAATTTTTGGTCAACAGTGAAAACTGATTTTCAATATTTCCAAGGAATTATTTTATACTGAACCTGTTCTCCCACTTTAATCTTCTTGGCAAACATGCTAAGATAAAAGTAAAAACAGATATGTATGACACACAAAACATGGTTTTATAGGCTTGTACTTTAAGAAGAAAGGGAATAGTTGACATGCAAGCACAGATGAAGGCTCGCAACTAAAATTTTGGACTGTTCTCTATCTTTCCCTTCTTTACCTCTTAGCTAATGGGCCTTCAAAGAAACATAATAATCTGCTCCATGATGTATTACAGGACATAAATATGCTTCTTTAAAAAAAAGTTGAATGCTGGAAAATAGCAAAATAAATTAGAATACAGAGCAAATTAGCACAAAGGCCAAAACAGAAGGACTGTGGATTCTGGAACAACTGAGATATGTAGCAAAATCAGAAGTCAAAAAGAAATGATTTAATAATTAGTAACCTATTGTGTAAACCAAAATAAATCAGATTTCTACAAAGGTATTAACAGGGCTTGGATGAAATCTCAGACTGTCAGAAAAACAATGCAGAGTCAGTATTTTTCCTGTAATAGAGAAATCCAAATAAAGAACACACTGGAAATTGAGATGCTCTATATTAGATCAATCAAAGCCTAGTGGGACACAATTTTACTCTGAGGATTTGAGAGAGGAAGGTGGGAGTATTTGAGGTACAAGGCTTTCATACATAGAATGTTTGAGGCAAGACTCTGTTAATAAGACTCTATTAATATGGAAAGAGAATGGAAGCCACCCTAACAAAATCAAAATGAGACTTTAGCAAAGCATGTCACTGTCTATGAACTTTGAGTTTAAGAAAAGGAGAAATGGAAAGTTCATATTTAACATATTTAGAGGTGTAAAATAAACAAGAAATATAAATTAAACTAAGTGTTGTCCTTAGCATAGACTGAACAGGTAAAATATATAGGAATGGACATGCACATAAGACAGCCATAAGATATTCTAATAAGTACAGTCAAGGAATTATGTGTGACTGTTCAATATAGGCAAAAGGAAGAAAGAACCCAGGGGAGAGCAGTTCACAGAAGATAATCACTAAAAAGGAATAAAATTTATTTTCACACAGTGACTTGCACATGAATTTATATGACAACTTCTGTAAATGTTAGAAATTCATAATTGTCAAAAGTTGGAAACATATATCTTCATATGTAAATAGAGAGATATTTTGGAACATTTGTGCAATGCTAAACTGCTTTGTAATAAGGAGAATAAAACACTGATCTTAGAAAAATGCTTGATTTAACTAAAACATAGTAACAACAACAACAGTTAATGATGCAGAGAAACATGGAGTCATACACAAATGTGTACACAGTATATAACACTCTACACTAGGCCATACTCATTTATAGTACAAGAGAGCAGATGTTTGCTTGCCTGGAGTCAGATGTGGGGCAAAGTTCAATAAAGATCTTTAAAGCATAACATCTTTTATTTTGGTTTGATGGTTTCTATTACTGTGATAAAATACCATGGTCAAAGCAACTTGTAGGGGACAGAATTTATTTTGCTTAGACTTCAACATCAACAACCATAACTGAAGGAAGTCAGGACAAGAGACACTCTGGACATCAGTTTGGAAGCACCATCTAATGCAGATGTCAGGAAGGAATGCAGCTTACTGTCTTACTCCCCAAAACTTGATCATCTTTTTTTCTTAGTGTACTCAATACCACGATCCCAAGGGTGATACTCAGAGTAGGCTGGGCTCTCCCATATAAGTCAATAATTAAGAAAGCACCCTAAAGGCTTGCTTATAGCCTTGCTTATTAAAGCAATTTCTCAATAAAGGTCCCCTCCTATCAGATGACTTTAGCTTCTGACAGTTAACATAAAATTAATTTGTACAATGGTGTTTAAAAAGCTATATATATTTATTAAAATCTACTTATCATATTATATATACTGAGTACATTTTTATGTACAGACTCCAACTTCAAGACTTGATTTTTAAAAATGTAACTGTTTGACAAATAAACAAACAATGAGTCAAATCATTTCAGAATTAAAGGACATTACAAGTGGATGCACTGCATGATCCTGAAGATGAAGAAATATTAACAGTGGCATAATCCAGAAAACTGACAAGTATGAATATAAGTTATGGATTAAAACATATTACTAGATCCATGAAAAATTTTGAACTTTACAATTTTAAGGTGATTATATAAAATAAATTACTCGATCCTAGAAAATATTTATAAACATCATAGTATTATCACATTACCATTGTTATTATTGGGCTTCATGTGACAAACTTTTACACTACAGCACCAAATGACCTCAGTCATATGATGAAGTTATCACATGCAGCTGGCCTTGGTGAATATCACTGTGTCTATAGGATTTCAACTTATAATCAAATAAATCAAAGAAAGATAGAGAGTGAATGAAGAAATTTATAGATTATGGAAGGTCATTTGAGTTGCTTAAACTAGACCAACAAGTATTTGTCGACTCTAAGATTATATTTTACAAAAAAATAAATTCATTCTAAAGAGAATTTCTTCTACATGCAAAAAGTAGCAAACTCTAGCCAACCAAACAGAAACAACTAACAAACAGAAACCTTCAACTGGATCCTAGTTCTTTGGTAGTTTCACAGAACAAACTGCAAACACACTCATATCCTACTCCTCTCAAATATGCAATCACTCGTGTGACTATACCCCCAAAAGAAGAAAAAGATGGTGGAAAGGATAAAAAATTCAAACAAACAAACAACAAACAAAACCTCTAAACAAGACCAATTTGTGTTGCCCTTATAGTTGTCACTATATCATTGTCAACATTCCTGGGACCAGCCTCTTAAAGAAATAAGCCCTTCCCAACCTGCACCTCTTCCAGAGGCCACAAACTATGGAGAGCTATGTTAAAGAATCCTTATCACAATTTTTAAGTGTTCTCTGTGGCGACATTCTGTCTAGGTTTTTAATTTTGAGGTGTGGGGGTGACAGTAGGGGTTGTGAAAGAAGACTTTTTTTTGTTTCTCTTTCTCAACTGTGGGTATATAGTCATCAATACCATGGTAAAAGTAGGTCCCTTGCCAATACAATCAGCAGAAGAATAGATCAGGGAATACACATGATTTCTGGATTCATTACTGACCAAGAACATTCACATGTTCTCCAGCAACAGTACAGGACATTGATATTTGTATGACCAACAATGCCAGCTCATGACAAAGATATCAACATTGGTCCAGGCTGCTGTAGGATCACGAATATCCACATGAACCTTGAGCTTCAATATGTTTTTTGGCATAAAACCAGGGAGAACAGTGTGGCCTCCAGTAGTAACATGGGCCACTGAGGTTTTTCAGAGGCCTAATACAGAAATATAGAAGTCTTTCAAGGAAGTCCAGTACAGAAATAAACCAATATTCTTGGACAAACTTTAAAGCCAATGCCTTTGCTTCACCTACAGTGACTTTAGCAATGGGTTACCAGAAAATCCCTTTTTCCTGTTTTGTATGGTCTATCCTGCCAGTATCAGTATCAACAAATTCTATTTCCTCCCAAAAGGCTAAAAATGTATTCTTGATTTCTTTAGAACTGAGATACTGTGGAATTGTTTCTTTATGATTTGCTCCCTTAGGAAACTGAATCATTGTTCTGGATTAAAGTTTCTAGTTTCTGATACATTGTCAATACTAGACCATTACTGAGACTTGCCTCTGGGATAGGAAAAGAGCTTGAGTTAGCTAAAATATCACAGTGAGAAAAATTACAGTGAAAGATACAGAGAAATACAGAACCATTACAAATATGTGCATAGTATATGATGTTTTGTACTAGGCCACACTCATTTATAGTACAAGAAAGCACATGTCTGTTTACCTAAGGTCCAAGGTGCAGAAAAGAACTTTGGAAAGTAATAAAATTGCTTTGTTTTAGTTTGATGGTTTCCCTTGCTGTCATGAAACACCATATCCAAAGCAACTTGGGGCAGTAAAGGGTTGATTTTCCTTAAACTTCCTCATCATTGTCCACAATCAAAGAAATTCAGGGCAGGGTTGTTAAAACAAAGTTTATAAACCAAAATGCATAGAATATCAACTTAATCATAAGTTCTTCTATGCCATTGTTATTCTTTTGTAAACTCATTAAAAATAAAAGTTCCTGAGCTAGTAACATGGCTCACCAAACCTGAAAATCTGTGGTTAGACTTCAGATCTCACAAACTAGGAGAGAAATAACTCCCTCAGTTTCTCTCTAGCTGGATTTGTGCTCTAAAATGCAAATGCATGGGGGCTGGAGAGATAGATTAGTGGTTAAGAGCCCTGACTGATCTTCCAGAGGTCCTGAGTTCAAATCCCAGTAATGGGACTTCACTGAAACATAGTGATTCACTGACTTTCCTGCAATCAGCACAACTGAGATATCTGCAGTGCAGGATACTGTATTAAATGCCACAAATACATTCTTGGGAAAGCATACTTTAAAATGTAGACTAAATAATAAATCACTAGGAAAGGCAAGGCATGCTGAATTAGAAAGAGTATAACCAGGTTAGCCTGAGCTATAGAATGAGGCCCTAATAAAATAATAAGTAATAATAAAAGCCTTCATCAAGGTTGCACTTATGAACACTCAGTAAGGAGATTCCTATGCAGGTTTAGGCTTCAGCAGAGCTGAAACTTCAGGGAGAAATAGAGTATTTCAGTTTAACAGGAACAGAAAAGGAAGATTAGTAAAATCTACATGCCCATAAATAACAGATCAGAGAGGGGAGATATGGTAGGAATGAGTGGACACATTGGCCAGCCATGAGTTATCCTTATAGGGATAATCAATAAAGGACGTATGCTGAACATGGACAAGGACATGGACAAAGAGGAAAGGGATCCAATAGACACTCACTATTCACAGATATGCATGAAGCACATATGCTGCATCACGAGCTCTTAATTTTACTCTCACCAATACTTGTACACAAGAGTCATAAGTTAGGCTCACAGCTGTTCACTGGGTTCATTAGGAGATGACAATGTAGCAAGTAATCAAGCTTCTGTGCCTTCTATCAGGAGAAAGTGCTTGTGGTGGTCATATGAACCTTCTAAGCACTGGACTCCCTTGCTCAAATTTTAGGTATGGCCCTAGTACCAATACCATCATCACCAGGGAACAGTTCCGTAGCATAGCCAAGGTCCACTAAAAACTCTTAACCTGGATGCAGGCATCTTCTTTCCCTCTGGTACCTCACTCTAAATCTTCACCTGCCCATTTCTGACAATATATGATGCTAAAGGCTATAAGAAAATTCATTTACTCTGTCGACAATCATAATCTAAAACACCAGAAATCCCAGTGCTTGGGAGGTAGAACTAGGCTAAGGCAAGTCTGTGTAATATGATACTTCACATAGACAAACCAAAATTAGTAACTGTAATAATAATCTCTGTGATTAGTACGTATTAATATATCTTGTAAGGCTGGCTGCCCTCAGGTCACTTCTGTGACAGCCTTCTTAAGAATGTCCTTCAAGAAAAGAGGAAGATATTTCATGGAACATTTGCAACCTAGCTGTCCACACTGACATGGCCACATTTAGAATAGAAGTGAGCTAGACATTCCATGTTCCCAGACACTGTATGAAATATTTCTGAGAAAGTTGACACTGTGGGTACAATGCCTCAGATATTTTGTGTAGCTGCAGAAGAAGAAATCCAATGAAAATCACAAAGAAAATGACATCATGAACAAAAGACGACAAAAAACAGTACATTAAACAGATAAAAGTACAGACAGTAGGATTACCAACTAGCATATGTAAAACAAGTATAACTGGCATCTTTCAAGAGATAGAAGACAAGCCATGCATGCCTGCCCATAGTCCCAACAGGAGAGTGATAGAGACAGGAAAATCATGAGTTCAAGGATAGCCTGGATGAAATAAATACCTATCTCAAAATATCAACAAAATAATAAAAATTAAATTTATTTTTAAATTATATAGAGAGCAACTTAACATATCACTAACTAGAAATGTTATTAAACAACAAAGAATTATAATGGATATTTCTTAAATTTTTGTATTTCTTAAAAACAATCAACAATCAGAAAAAAAATGATGATATATGATTTGTGGACAGAAATGTGATTCTAGGATTCCAGGACAAAGGTGCATGAGTATTGGTAATTAAGGTACAGGAGAGAATAAAGGATGAATTATCCAAAACTAAGGATGTATAAAAGGCCTTATGGAAACCAACTAGTTAGTAAGCTTAAAGTTGACCAACACAAAACAGACTCTTTATTTCCTTGGAATTTTGTGTCTGTGGATTTGTTTTTGTGTTTCCTTGTTTGTTTGGGGGGCGATTTTTGCATTATTGTGTTTGTTTGTTTGTTTGATCACTTGCTTGATTTTATTTTTCCTTTTTTTGTTGTTGTTGTTTTGGGGAGAGAGAAATTACATGACACTGAGTGGGTAGAAGTTAGGGAGAAATAAGCAAGGAGAACTCATTGGGGAGGTAAACTGATTAAAATATATTCTAAGAAACAATGTAATTAAAAATTAAAAATTTAACTTTGGAAAAGGGTTACATTACAGAAGGTATACATTTTTAATAGAAAACCAAAGTGCAAAGGAAAGGATACCTCCAGAGCATTTACTTAGTGGTCAAGGAGATGACAGAGGTCTCCCACATAGCATAGGCTACTGCTCCTACCCTTGCTTACCATAACTACATGATAAGACTCTGTTGCTGAAGATGCTCACACATTGACATTAATACATAGAGATGTCAGTCAGTCACAAACAAATATGGGAGAATCTTCCTCTGGGCTCACTTTTAAATGGTTAGTAGGTGCTTCGCAAGTTGCAGGGAAGAAAACATAGGAGTAGTCCTATCCTGCACAGGGTTCTGCATGCTACACTGCTGAACTGCTAGGTAAGATATGTTTTTAGGAAAAATAGATGCTTCTTATTGGAACTGAAGCCTTTATCATACGGGAAATTAATGTTTGGTATTCCAATCCAAACCAAAAGCGCAAGATTGTGGGATGTCACAGGCCCTAGGTTGGGTAGGTTCAAACATGCTACAATCACTCTGCTAAGTAGTGAGTGGTTAGAATCCATTCTTAATATTTATAGTTATTGCCTAGGCCTGTTCTGTTCTTTTCCTTCATCAGAGATGCTTCTTTATACAGTAGGCCATAGTCCATGCAGAGAGGCAGAACTGGTCAATGTGCTTAGAAGTGCTTATGTGCTCAGCCCTTAAGGAGACATCTACATCCACTTCTCCCCCTCCATACCACCAGCAAGTCTCATGGCATAGCAGGGAAGAGGACATAGAAAGAATGTAAGAACCCAAAAGGGAAAGAGCTCTGTGAAGTGCAGCCTTCTGGACAAGATAGAATTTCAGCAAAGATTATTTCTTCTTCAATCACTATTCTTAGGTAACAGCTGCTGGGAAAGAGAGAAACAATTCTTTACTGAGGGTGTGGCCATTGGTGTGTTTTCTTCTTCCAGTGGATAGACTACAAACATGCACATATGGATAGTTAGTTACAAAGACATGAGCTAATGGGGCATGTTACAGCTTTCAGTAGGACTAGCAGATAATATGTTCATATATTCTTTGACTTATATGAGATACTGAAGAAAAATATATATTATTAATAAAGATACCTAATTAATCACCAAAAAGTTTTCTACCAGATTATAAGTAAACAAAAACTTGAGATTTACACAATACAACACCTTGAAATGGAAGGTAGACATATTTGTGTATAAACATATTCTTACATTTATAAATAATCAACAATTATATAAATAACAACAGTAAAAATTGTCACATGAATGTCTGAGTGACTCATACTCATTGTGCTTGTCATGATCATTCTGTCACTTCACACAGTCTCAACTTGTTGACTTTGTAGTGCCCTTCAGAGACACCAAACCCAGACACTATTTCAGATGCAAAGAAGTGCTTGCTGACAGGAGCCTGATATGGCTGTCTCCTGAGAGACTTGCCAGAACCTGATAAATACAGAGGTGGATCCTCACAGCCAATTGTTGGACTGAGCACAGGGTCCCCATTGGTGGAGTAAAAGAAAGGACTGAAGAAACTGAAGGGGTTTGCAATCAGATAGGAAGAACAATATCAACCAAACAGATACCCCAGAGCTCAAGGGACTAAACAAGTGAAGAGTATACATGGAGGGACCCATGAACTCCAGCCAAGTGTGTAGCAGAGGATGGCTTTGTCAAGAACTAATGGGAAGACAGGCCCTTGGTCCTGTGAGGGCTTGATGACCTAGTGTAGTAGAAAGCCAGGATGAGGAGGCTGGAGTTGGTGGGTGGGTGGGGGAGCACCCTCATAGGAGCAGGATCAGGGGGATGGGATAGGGGTTTTCTGGAGGGGAAACTACAAAAGGGGATAACATTAGAAATGTAAATAAATAATATATCCTCCCCCCAAAAAAGACTTCATCCTGAGATATATGAATTATTAAGCCACTTTTGATTAGGTCCTTGAACATATGATTTCCCACTGTAACACATGTTCTGGCACTGCCTTATGAAACTTGTCTTTACCCATGAGATCCATATAAAATCAGAAAAGCCAGGTGAAATGAGAGAAGGGCCTTTGCACACAATCCTCCCAATTCCCACATCAGTGTTATAGTCAGAAGGGTTCAGAAACTCACAATTTAGATGGGACATTGTCAATCCATGTCCATTCTCCTTTCTTTTGATCATATTTCAATCCAATCCAGTAATTGTCTGGAATCACCTGGAGCTGAAGGAACTTCTGTAAAGGAAACAACAGACCTTATGATGAAATGTCTGTCTGTTTGATGAGAGAACAATCAGGAAAATTCCTAGCATTCCTGTGTCATTCTCTACTGTCCTGTCCTCCCCTGCTCAGTACCATTGTGTTCATTGTCTAGAGTGACTTCCTACTAGTAGCACATTTATTTCAAAACTATGTCAGTTCAGTAAGTTATTGTAATAAAATCTTTAGGTATTCTGAGATATTGGGATCATGACAAGATTTATTAACTATCTTTCTAAGACCAAGTCTCACTATGAAAACAACAATGGCCTTGAACTCACAGTTTTCCTTCTTAAGGCAGGAATTTTTACATTTAGCAATGTCATTGACTGATATATAAATTTCTTCTATTGCATCTTCTATGCCTGAGCTAAACACCAGAAATCTCAACCACAATATCTTGAGTGTCCAAGAAGCACATTAATACATGTTCAAAGTCAAACCCTACCAGGGAAATGCAGAACAGAACAACTCTGAGAACCCATCTTATACCTATAGTAATGGCTAAGATTTAAAACTGAAGTAATAGCACATGCTGGCAAGGATGTGGAACCACAAGAACACTCCTGCATTTCTGGTGGGAGTACACACTTGTACAAATACTTTAGAAATTTATTTGGTTATTTCACAGAAAAATGGCAATAGTTCTATCTCAAGAACCAGCTATACCACTTCTCAGCATATGCCCAAAGATGCCCCACCATACCACAAAGACAATTGATTGTTCATAGTAGCTTTATTCATAATAGCCAGAAAGTGGAAACAACTTAGATGTCCCTCAACAGAAGAATGGAAAACGAATGTGGTACATCTAAATAATTGAAAACTATTCAGCTATGAAAAACAAAGACATCATAAATTTTTCAGGCAAATGTGTAGAACTTGAGAACATCATCCTTGGTTACCTTGGTTATGAGATAACCAAGTCCTAAAAGTGTATGTATGGTGTATATACACTTATAAGTAGATATTAGCCATAAAATACAGGATGCCCATGCTACACTCCACAGATCCAAGTGTCTGGACAGGAAGAAGCACACAATCAGGGATGCTTGATTCTTACTTGGAAGCAGGAATGGAATTTTCATAGAAAGCTGATGGAGGGAGGGAGGGAACACAGTGTGAGATGGAATCATGAGGTGTTATGGGGATTCAAATTTGGGTGTGAGGATGTATTGGTTTGGATTGCCTGATGGCCACAAGAATTAATGGAAATCTGCAACTGATGGGGTTAGTGATACAGGACATCTCCAGGAAGAGATGGAAACCAGTGATAAGGGACAAACACAAGAATCAATAGGAGTATCCTTAGCTCTGACACAATATAGCCTTGGGAAGCTGCTTCCTACTGCCAATAAAGAACCCATGGGGAGTGATAGGGACACCAACACACCCACAATACTTTTAACTAAAATCTTATCCTGTGTACAAGAAGTGCAAGGATTGGCGATGGAGCAAAAACTGAGGAAACAGCCAACCAATTACCACCTAAACTTGAGACCCATCCTATGGAAAAGCATCAATCCCTGACCTTATTATTGATACTCTGTAATGCTTGCAGACAAGCATCTATCATGGCTGTCTTCTGTGAGGCTTCTTCCAGCAGCTGACTAATACATACACTGACACCCACGGCCAAACACTGGATGGAGCTTGGGGGCTCTTATAAAAGAATATGTGGAAAGACAGTGGGCTCTGTTGTGGATAGGAACTCCACAGGAAGGGCAACAGAATTAACTATCCTGGAGCTGTGTGGCTCTCAGAATGTGAACCACCAAACAAAGAACATTCATGAGGCTGGACCTAGACTTTCATGCACATGTGCAGTGTGGTCTTTGTGTGGATCTAGAACTGAAGCCGGCACTATCCCAAAAGTTGTAGCCTGTACATGGGCTATGTTCTTCTAACTGGGCTGCCTTGTCTGGCCTCAGTGGGAAAGGATGTAGTTAGCCTGATGGAGACTTGATCGGCCATGATAAGAGAATACCATGGGAGCCACCACCTTATCAGAGAAGAAAGAGGGATGGGGTATGAATTATGGGAGGGAGTGACCAGGAGGGGTCAGTGAGAAAGGAATAAGTAGAATACTGCTGCTGCTACTACTACTACTACTAGTAGTTCTACGAGTAATAACAATAATAAAATTTAAAAATTGGTTATTGTTACTGTTAAGTGGAAAATTAAAGTATTATTTTACATTAAATTCCTTTTATGTTTCTGTATTAAATTGTTGTATAGATATTGTTCCATGTTATAAATACCAAGGTATCAAAGTGATACTGAAATCACTCCTTTGAAAATGTATACTCTTCATAGTTGAAGAGATTCATTAGTAATAATTTAACAAGAAATGTCAGATTCATGAAAACTTTGTTTTCTTTTAAATAGAGATTTTAAAAGATAGACATGTGTTTTCAAAACATAAAAATACTATCTAGTAAAGATATGGACAGTTTCAGTGAAAATCACTGTGGGGCTAACTGGTCAAACCATTGAATTCCACATTTGTCCTATCATCACATTTTGGAGACAGGCTCAGAGCTCAGCTACTTTCTCTGTTGTCACCTGATTACTCATCTGAGGCAGCCTTACTACTGAGTTCCAAAGAGCAAACTCTAGATAGCGAGGATTTATTTGGCACTCTATGGAGATAGTAACAGGATATGCTGCATCAAAGGGTTAAACTTCATCAGGGAATGACATACTTTCTGAGAGACTGTCTTATAGATTCCTAAGAAAGGAAGGTACCTGAAAGATACAAGTGTCTCTGTAGGAACAAGTCTCCTCTTAACAGACCTGTGTCCCACAGTTTTTTTCACATTATAGAAAAACCATGAACAGATGAAAAAAAAAAACTTGAATTGAGTATCTCATTATTCAGGGTTAGAGACAGAGTCTAAGTGAATAAAAGAGCAAGTAAGTGTCTACAATACCCATTCATCCTCATCATCTATCTTCAGAAGGGATAAGCGATAATTCTGGCAGGTCTGTTGACATCCATGCCATGTCTTTCTGTCCTTGATGAAATAATAACATTTTATACCATAGCAGAACCAGTGTATTTCAACTTCACTGCCTACAACAGAGAAAGTAAATGGTTAAAGTTATTATTTTCTGGTATTCTGTTACCAGAACAATGTATGTATTAAGCCTGTGTAAAAAAATAAAATAAAATCTCACTGGTGTCAGAAATTGAGATTCTATAATTCCCAGAGACCCTTGCATGCTTATAATCTATGCAACATTGTTTGTAGCAATAGAGATACAAAAAACCATTTTATGTGTCAATCACTGATGAGTCAGTAGAGAAAATATAGCACAAACACACAAAAGAATACTTCGTTATACAGCCTTCGTTATACAGTGAGTTCCAATTCACCCTGGGCTAGAGAATGACATCATGTCTCACACTAAAATACAAAAGAGAGATGCTGACATATATGATGAACTTGGATGAAATTGAGGATGGTATGCAAAGTGAAACACACCAGGTATAGGAACAACTTTATAATATCATGAAAATCAGGTTACTAAAACAGCCTAAGTCTATGAAGCAGAATCTTTTAAGATACCATGGGCTGGAGAAGAGGCAATGAGCACTTGCTACTCAGAGGCAGCAAAACTGATGGCAGAATTGTAGATCTGCACTAATGTGTTGTACCCACACTGGTCCACACACTACTGTGGACTTAGCATTGTGTCATAGTTTATGTTAAATGCTTGTACCTTAAGAGAAATAAGAGACATACAAAAGATGTTTTGTTGTTTATTATCTGTTCTCCTGATTATGTTGATGCCTTCAATAGCATGACCACATTCACAAATGTTTTAAGTTAAATATATTAAAATCTGTGCAGTTTGTTTACCAAGATCACCTCAATATGAATATTTTGTTTAGTGAGTGGCTGGGAATGGCCATTCTCTATTAACAAATTTTATGCCCACCGTTCATTTTCTATGAAGAGGCATCATTCTGTAGCTCATGCAGGCCTGGAATTTGCTGGGGTGTCGAATTGTCCTAAAAATTATAATCCTCCTCCTTCAACCCCTTAATGACAGGTGTTACATCATTATGCTACCCTTTTCAGATAATGAACTTATTTTAAAGTAATAAGATAATATATTTTCCATGGGTCTGGAATACTTCAAAGGTATTTTCGGAACTTTCTTTCTCTCACAAATTTTATAATGTAGCAATTTTAAATATGTCAGTCATAACGTAATGAGAATCTTCACATCTTAGTATCACAGTGTGATGAGATTATACACAATAGGTTTTTGTAAACTCTAAATTCTGAAAAAAAATATTTAATGATGATTGATAAACCGTGTCAGTTAAAGATGACCAATCAGGATGAAGGGTAAGAAAGGTTCTGGTAGTACTTGATCTTTTCATCTTTCTAGCTTCTGACAGAGCTGCAACATGTGCACACCATGGTAAAGTTCTCATATCTGCTACAGAGAAGTTTCCTTTGTGATGTTTGTAACATAACAGCCCACTCAATGCAAGTCAGATGGAATACAGGCACACATACACACATACACACAGGCATGCATGCACGCACATAGAGACAGACAGACAAAACTATTTTTATAACTGCATCCAAATAAGTGCTCTGAGTCCATTTTAGCATAAATAGTTGATAAATACACTCTTGCTAAAAAAATTTCATGTTCTGTCAGCAATAAAGTTGGAGACTCAGATTTTCCAGTAGACTAATACAATCAAAATTCTAAGGAATACTGATTTGTAATTCCCTCCCCAGGGAGCAATAGGAGTGCCAAACAGACACTGACTTATGGAAACTATATGACTCTCCTAATCCAAACATGGATTTCTGGGTTTCCAGACCCTAATATGAAATAAGGAAGCCATAAATGATTAACCTAAAGATCACCAGCATTGTAAGCTGCTGGTTGGACTTCTTAGCTTCCAGAGAAGAAACAATAGATTATAATGCAATTCTGTATTCATGATCCTTCACTGCTACATACCTGTGTGATGTGAGGAATTTAAAACAGTCTTGGTTTCGCTGTACCATCTGTTCTGTTCTCTACTGAGGGATTCCAGAAGCTCATTTCCAGGACTACACTCTATAGTCTTACTCCTCAGCATTTCTTTCTGTAAGTCGATGTCACGTTGCATGGTGCTGCAGTTATGGTGGCAGTTTAAAGTTTCCTGTGGTTCATGTTTTTCTTTACGACACTGAAAAACTAAATTATTCACAGATATAATATCAAAATACTTATAAGTGGTAGATATTAAAATTTAAGACTAGAGAAAAAGCTTCATCTCAACAGCCAACACATATGATATGATTATTTTCTTGATACTTTCAACATTCAATTAACTCACTATAGAAACAGATAGATCAATTTTTCTCTAAGGTAAGTTGACTGTTAAATAAATAATACAACTGAATGAAATTATGGTGGAAATAACTTCCAATCACTTAATTTTTGAAGGATAAATTTACAAATAATAACCTAAGTAAAACATTCAGTGAATAATTAACAGACAATGAAAATATGAACTAAAAATGTTAAGAAATATCACAATTCTTATTGGAGCATATACAGTGCAATATATCCACATACATACCTATGTTTTAGCACACCCTAGAAGTTATTTCTTCTGTAAATGTGGAGGAATCCAATATACTTTAACCTGTAATTTCTCTGCACAGATGAATTATTTTTATTTAAGCATAACTTCAATGTACATAGTAGCAATAGGAAAAGCTAGACATTGATTTTTTGCATAGCTGTTTCCTACAAAATGTTTATGTAAGATTAACAATCACCTGAGATCAGACAGCAGACTATCATCAAGTCCTCACGGGGAACATAACCAAAAATGTGACAGAATAGGGCAACTCCAAACAGCCCCAGAGTTAACACATTAGGTATGAAAGAGAACAGACACTGCAGTATGTCAAGAAAAAATATTAATGTCCAGAGATTCTGGATTATCAGTTGATTATAGGCAGGAAAATGGATGGAATGTGTAACTCCAAAGTTCATGTCTAAAGATGTGCTTTGGGCAAAAAGTCAAGCAAGATGTATCTCAATTACTCACTGTTTGTCACCAACACTGCAACAGTTACCAGCAGAAGGGAACAGAGGATTCCAAAAGCTATCACAATGAGGTGCCAGGGGACAGAACATTCTTGAATCAACAAAACAAATCAAGAAAATCATCACTTTAAAATGAGCACATCTCAATACCAATTACACTTTTTTGTAGCATGAAAACAAGGGGAAATTTTGGACAAGCCAAAAGTACAAACTTATGGAAAATGTGCTATCAAAATTGTAAATTTCTACTTAAAATGCACCCACTGTATAAATCCTATTTGTGTGAAGTTTGACAACATTTTGAACTTATTTCAGCCTTGAGCCTTTATTGTGAATCCTCTTCATGCAACCAAGAAGGAACTGAATGACAAAATATGCCCTTACCTAGTTCTACAGGAATAAAAGTACATTCTACAGAAGGCATTGGAGGCCTAGATACAATCCAAGTACAAGATAGAGAAATGAAGCTTTCAGTCCATCAAGAAAGATAACTGAGGATGGAGAGGAAGAAAGAGGGAGGGATGTTCTTGAGAACTGGTAGGGGACCACAGCTGCTCTGGACCTGATCTGTATATATACCCATCCTTGAAAGGACCTACAAGTCAATTATCTATTTTGCCCTTTAAGTTTGATTTTGCTCTATATAATACTGAACATTTTGTTGTATCAAAGGCATTTGGAATCTGAAACTCATGTTTTTGATTACTGCTACATCAAGGAAGAAAAAGATCTCAGCCTGAAGCACAGTTGTAGCAGTGTGTACAGTGTAAAAATGATACTAAAAAGTGATATTTCAGCTTTTTCATTAATAAAAATTATTCTTCGCCATTTACAGGAACTCACACTGGAGTTTACTCATTCACAGCCCCACTAACCTGTCATCTCCTCTTCCTTCACCTGCAACTTTATTTCCAGGAGGAGACTTCCTCTTCTGATGGACAATTTTTGTTGCCGTGTTACATTAGATTTCCTTAAGATTTTGTTTCTCTAGAACATCTACTGTTTTTTCCAGACTCTAGTTTGTCAGTTTTAAAGGTTTCAGAATTCTTCTTGACTTGACTAAATAACAACAACAACAAAAAACCTCCTCATGGTTTCTCACTTCTTTATTCTCAAGAATTTTTCATATAGACTGTCATACTTCTACTCTGCCCATCTGGGTTCATTTGTAACTAGCTAACCACTAAAAAGTAGAAGTAAGGTTATATTTTTTTTCTTTTTTTTTAATTTAAAACTTGATTGCTTTGTTTTTTAACTTAGTTTTTAATAATGTACATGAATACTCCAATGAATACTCTTTTCTTCCCTACCACCCTTGTGCATAACCCAGATCAAATAAAATGAAATATTAGAATTTTCCATAGAAGCTAACTTCTAAAGTTTAAAATGTGAAAAAAAAACGTGATTTAAGACACTTCAAACACTTACCTCTGTGGCCAGCTTCTCTGGGCTCTTGAATATCCTCAGGCCTCACTTGGTTCTGCAACTCTGAAGACTTATGAAATCTGACAGTTGAATAAGTGACCTCCTGCTCACTCATCTTGGGAGTATGTAAAGTATTTTCCTCTGTTAAAATGTGTCCTTGAGTGATTTCTAAAGAAAATGTTAAAATGTCCACCTTTAGGAAGGTACCTGTATCTGATGAGACACAATATTGGGAAAGAGTGGGGTCTAACTCACTTAAAGATCCAAACACTCTGATATGGAATGACCCTGACTTCCACTACATGGGAGAACCCTGTGGCAATTTCTATTTCAGTTCTTTATATTTCTAATGGTCACAGAAATTATGTTTTAGGAACTATGAAAAGAATTAAAAATTTACTAATAAGTCATCATGATATTGACACAATCTGTTTGTATAAAATATTCAGGTAAAATTGGAACCACTAAAAATTGTTGAAAAAACTTGTAAACAATCTATTCAAATATAAAAGAGTCAAGACTTTAGGAATAAATAAAACTATTTCTTTAAAATTAATTACACATTTTGATAAACACATGAATATTAAGTGTTCTTTTAATCTTTTTATTTGTACATCAATCTCAGAGTTTCCCAGATACTATCTTCAAAAGAATATATGAAAATGAATACTGCAGGTGATCTAAGACACAAATATCTCTTGGGTTGAAACCCCAATCGGCTGAGATGTACAACTTCTCCACCCAGCCATAGTCTACACATTCTGTTCCATGCTTGGACCTGGACAGTGGATTCAACTACAAAAGATCCTACTGAGTGGCATAATCCAGATCCAGAAATGCAATACTGAATTTTCTCTCTTTTCTGAGACTCCTGACTCAAAATCTTCAGAAATGCTTTGTAACCTTTAGTAACTGCAATAACCAGGAAATTAGAAAGGGAACATTGCTGGGTGTGGTGTGAAAGCATCAGAGTGAGGAATAGAGGATAAGATAGGACATTTTAATCTCAAATCATTCCATGTACATAATCGTGTCACCTATAATATGCATGATGTTGCAAGAGGAGAATATATAAAAATAAATTTTGTCACTATGCAGAGTATATGAGCTAATGCCCATGAAGGATCCAATCTGATAATGGATATCAAGGTATTAGATAATAATATTTATAACTGACCTACTCTTACATTAATATCTTAAAGGGGAGCCAGCAGATAAGATGAACAACAAACTAGACATGTTGCAGCATTCTTCTATAGTTTTTGTTTTTTATTTCATGAAGCTTTCTGCCATAATTTACCTTTTGCCTTATTTTTTGATCAAAAAAATAATCTCTCCAATACAGAATTTCTTTTCAAAATTATTATTTTTTACTATTGCTCTTGGTGTGGCACTGGCCAAGCCAAGATGCATGTGTCCAGCAGACAATTTTACAATGTGAGTTCTCTCACTCCAACTTCATGTTGGTGTTAGAGAAATTACAGTTTCACACTGATCCAATCTGCCTGGCTCCTATTATGACATCCTTAAGATTGATAATATATAGACATTTGACACAGTTAAAAAGAAATGAACCCCATAGTTCCCTCTATTTTAATTTCCTAGCATACAAGTCACTACATACTCTGAAAGAAAATAACCATTCCATAATGACAATTTTTACATGCTACTGGAGTTAACCTGATTTAACAGAACCAACAGGGCTTCCCCATCAATCCCACTCTCATGTCACACCATCTGAAATTCTCTAGAGGATATTTGATCATATGGTAGAAAAACAATAAACGTAGGTATTGTTACCTGTGTCTCTGCCCTGAAGTGATTCTGGTGAAGGTAATTGATCCCCCAGTTGCAGGGAACAAGCAGCCTTTCCTGGGCTGTATCCCGTAAGAGGCTCCAAGAGGAAAGACAGAACTAAGTTTACTCAGAATGATACTTAAACTCATGATTCTCTGCCCCTCCTCATGACTAAACTAAAAAGAGGAAATTGCTTAATGAGATCAGACTCTGAGAGGGAAGGAGAGAAGCAACATACTGTGCCAGATGCTGCACAACAAATGTTCATAATTGAAATTTGAAGACTGAGAAGAAGAGCACTCCTACAGAGAGAGAAAAACCAGTGTCCTTAGCAAAATCACTAAGATAAAGAGGGACCAAAGCTGCTTTGCTCTTCATTTTAAAATAGGCTGTTGGAAATTTTGTCTTATGTTACTATTTTTTAAAGTTATTCCTTGATTTTGAATTTTGCTAATAGCAGCTTAAAGTTTATATTAGGAATATCTCTAAAGCACTGACATTTCCACTGGTAAAGTCTTCCTTTACACTCTTCTAGTTTATTTTTAACTATTTTTTATTGGTTATTTTATTTATTTACATTTCAAATGTTATCCCCCTTCCCAGTTTCCCATCTCCAAACACCCATCCCACCTCCTGCGTCTCTCCCCTGTTTCTATGAAGGAGCTCTCCCACCCACCCAAAGACCCACTTGTACCTCACTACCTTAGCATTTTCCTACACTGAAGTTTCAAGCCTTCATAGGACCAAGGGCCTCCCCTCACATTGATGCCAGATAAGGTAAGTCTCTGCTACATATGCAGCTGGAAACAGATGTCCCTCCATGTGTACTCTTCGGTTGGTGGCTGGGAGCTCTGGGTAATCTGGTTGGTTAATATTGTTGTTCTTCCTATGGAGTTGCAAACCCCTTCAGCTCCTTCAGTCCTTTCCCTAACTCCTCCGTTGGGGTCCCAGTGCTCAGTCAGATGGTTCGCTGTATCTGAATCTGAATTGGTCAGGCTCTGGCAGAGCTTCTCAGAAGACAGCTATATCAGGTTCCTGTCAGCAAGCATGTCTTAGCATCAGCAATAATGTCTGGGTTTGGTATCTGCATATGGGAATAATCCTTGTGTGAGGCAGTCTCTTGATGGCCTTTCCTTCAGTATCTGTTCCACTCTTTGTCCCTGTATTTCCTTTAGACAGGCACAATTCTGTGTTAAAAATTTTGAGATGAGTGGGTGGCCCCATCCCTCAACCAGGGGCCATACGTAACCACTGGATATGGTGTTTAAATGTTCTCTCTCCCCTTTGTAAGGTATTTCAGCTAATGTCAATCCTGTTAGCTCTTGGTGCAGTTCTAAATGGAGTAGTTTACTGCTGGTGTTTTCATGGTGCTGGGATATTAAATCTAAGACAATGAGCATGCTCAGATAATCTCTTCTACTGAGGTAAGGACTCAGGCCTCAGTTTTGTTTTGTACTGGCTTTTCATTTTGATTTGTTTGTGGTTGTTGTTTTTGTTGTTGAGATAGTTGTTATATCTTACTGTGTGGCATAGGCTGACAATATACTTACAGTCCTCTGGCCTCACTGTTTTCTGTCTTAGAATTATAGTTGTAAACCACTACACCAATATACTCCATTTTTCTGATAGCAATTTTTCTAATAAATAACAACCATTTCTTCATTTTATACATCTAGATCTCAAGATATTTAAAGCCATATATATTTATTAATCACTTATGTACAGCATAAATTAAATAGATAATCCTCCACTGCTGAACATTCCAGTTGTTTTGTAGTATATCGTTGTTAGTTAGTTTTAAAAATAAATGGGATATACTTTAGAACATACTAAAAAAGACATTTTATGCATGAAGTCATGGAATTCAAAGAGCTGTACATCTAAGGAACTCTGATATAGATTATTTCATGACAACTGGTTAACTTACAGTCTATAGTTGGCATGACAATATTCACAATTGCATTTTAGAGATGAGCTGGAGTGATTTTTCTTTTATAAATCTTGCCCATGGATTCTGACAAGGATTCCTGAAAGAAGCTGTTTCAGCAAAGACTGATTTAAACAGTAGAGAAGTGGGGATGTTGTAATGGTGTGGATCTGGGAATAATCATCTTACCAAAGGCTAGCACTAGCCATCTAAGTAACCTGTGTACCAAAGGCTAGCTCTCGCCTTCTATGTAACCTGTCTCAGAACTAACATCCAGTAACTAATAGATAAAAACTTCATGAAATCTATGAACATAGCAGAGCACTAAGTTCTATCAACCTGAAGGCTAAGAATGTCCTCTGATGATCTATATAAAAAGATTTCCCCAATCTTGCTGTAACCACCTCTGTGATGTGCCTACTGATGTACAGTGAAATTACCTTAATTTATGATTTTCTAGGTTCTTTAAAATTACAAAACTTCATAAAACTGATTCCACATTAGAACACAGAGATATGGGCACTCACAATGTTTCCATAATATACTGTCTTTTATTCATTTTAAGGTGAAAGCTGGGTTTCGTATGAATAGGCCTACATTCAAAGCTCTCATTGTGGATATTGGAAGTGAGGCTGCACATTCTAGTCAGGCTGCATATGCAGAACACTTTAGATCCTTCACTGGAATTTAGTTTGAGGTAGGGCCATGCTTAAAATGTGCAAAGATTTGACCTCATAAAACACAATAATGATAATAACAAGAATAAATAAATGACAATGATAGTTAAAAAACAGTGATAGTAATAATAGAATAAAGGGTTCATACCAAAGATTTTTTGATTTCCATAGTCTGTTCTCATTAGCTCACCCATTTCAGAATATGTTCACGTCTCTCATTAACTTTACTATCATTTGACTGTAGATTTCCCTACTTGCTAGTTTGTGTTTTATGAAAACAATTTAAATTGTTCTTCAGATCAAGTGACAGTGGTTAACTGAGTACTGGGAAATGGCAGATGGCTCAAGAATAGAAAAGGAACTGAAGACACACTGACAAGCCTGATGCCTAGTCCTCTCCCTTTCCCCCTCCTCCTCCCCTTCCCCCTCCTCCTCACCCCCCTCTCTGTTTGTGTTTGAAAGAAAGAGAGTGTTGGATTGCATATGTGCCATGTGTTGTACATGGTGGTCAGAGGACAATTTTGGGGAGTTAGTTTTTTTTTTCAACCAAGACTTCCATGGGCCAAATTTGGGATGTCATCAGGCTTTTGTGGCCAGGGCTTTAAACACTAGGCTTCACCAATAGCCTCTCATAGGTTCTCTTCATGGTGCAAAACCTCATTTTTTTTATTACTTCCTCAGTTCTGGGCCATTAACTGAATTTGAGGTTGCATCTTTACCAATGCCCTTTCCTGGACTTTCACAGTGCCAATCCTCAGCTGCCCTCCATGAACCCTTCATATCTTCAAAGCCAGTATTAACAGAATGATTCTTACACATTACCAAGTTCAGCTGTAGCAAGAAGTACAATCATGGCCCTCTCAAACACAACATCTTTGTGCTCTCAGAAAACACTTTCCAGGTTTCACCTCAGTGACTCTGGTCTCTTCTTAGTCACTGGTAATTTCTTAGGTCCAGGTTACAAGCATCAATTTTCCCAGTAGTTCCCTTTATTCTTTACGCTAAAGCCAGATACTATGGCTGAAGCTATTCAGTTCTACTACTTTCTGGGGCTGAACATGTCTCACTTCCTTATTCTATTGTTACTTCTCTGTTTTCCAACTCCCATGCTGCCTAAACTTGACTGTCCTGAAACTTGTTCTGTAGATTGGCCATGAATGCAGAGATCTGCATGGCATCGTTTCTTGAATGCTGAAATTAAAGGTGTGTATGACCACGCCTGAACTTAAGCTTTTTTACACCAAGAACATGCTTTGTCCCTGGCTAGCCTTGAATACCTATATCTGCTTGCCCTTGTCTCCTGGGATTAATAGTGTTTTGTACTACCATGCCTGGGTCTAAGCTTGTCATAGCGACTGTTCCTCAAAATCTGGGTCAAAAGTATGTATCTTCCAACATCAAGAACTAGATCACAGGATTGCCTTCCATTTTAGGATTGTACTTCATTCCAAATTAAAAGAAAAACTATTCCTCATTCAATGGCAAAGACAACAAGCTTAACTGGGTAGGATCTGGCCCTAAGATCACCACTCCTGTAATCTCTTTATCTCCTTGAACAAAAGATTCAGCTCCATTTCACTTCCTGGTACCCCTTTATTATTACCTTACACTTTGTTTTTCTTCTTTTTTCTCTTTTTGAGCTCTCTGTGCTTGATCAGAAAGCTCTTCATGAGACTAAACCAGAGAACAAAGTCTCTGCTGGGATTTTTTTGAGACTTCTTCATCAAAGCAATTTATATAAATTTGTTTAACTTAGCTTCAGATAGACTGTATAGACAAATGCAAAAAGCAGCCACATTCTTAACCACAATATCACAAAACAGTCTCTAAGCCACTTCCTAAAATTCTTCTCTACTGAAACCTCTTGGGCCAAGTCTCCATATTACAAATCACACTCAGCAACAAAGTTGTTCGTATTCCTACTAGAACAGCCCATTAAGACCCATTTAAACATTCCACTGCTTCCCAAATCCACAGGCCCTAAATCTACATTCTTTCAAATAAAAGCATGGTTAGGCCTTTTACAACAATACCCCACTCCTGATACTATCTTCTGTCTTAGTGTTTTATTTCCAGGAAGAAACACCATGACCAATGTAACTCTTATAAAGGAAAACATTTAATTGGGACTGGCTTATAGGTTCAGGAGTTTAGTCCATTACTAACACAGGTGCATGCCATCATCCAGACAGATGTGGGGCTGGAGGAAGAGCTGAAATTTCTACATTTTGATCCAAAGTAGAGAGGAGAACTTTGGCTTCCACATGGCTAGGGAAAGGATCACAAAGCCCACTCCCACAGTGACACACTTGCTCCAACCAGGGCATACCTCTTAATAAGGCATTCTATGGGCCAAGCATATTCAAATTACCTTACTGGGATACATTCAGTCTTGGTCAAGAAGCTTCATCTTGTAATGGGCAGTAATCAATACTGAGCAGCAGGACAGGTCATAGTCCCAGCTGAAACAGAATATGTGCTCAGCCTGATGGGGCCATTGTCATAAATGTTTTCTTAAATGCAACCACCGAGAATAGCATGGAAGAGGA